AGTTTGTCTTCAAGCCTGTCTCAGACAGATGCAATGCACCTGTCAACCTCAAGGATAGACATTATCTCTCATGTTCAGTCATTAGGCCTGTGTTAATTTGGAGCCTGGGGCTCGTCACCACATGTCCAGCATTAGACGCAGGTGTCGGAGGGAGAGCAGGTGAACAGAGGGCCCTAATGAGCGGGAGTTAATGAGCTGCTGATCCTGGAGAAGCAGATGTGTGTGTATCTCACCTCAGCAGCCAGCTTCTTCATGTAGGGGTCGACCTCATCTAAGATGTTGAAGCCCTGCTGGAAGAGACTGTACTGAGCCTGCATGAACGACAGCATCTGTGGAGGAGACGAAATGATCAATACAGAAAACTACACAGGAGGAGAATGCTGGTTTATCATGGCATATGAACCCACTCACCGAATCCAAAATTTCAAATTTCTTTTTGGCCTGAAGAACATTGATCTGAGAAAGATTTCAAGAGAACAGCACAGTCATTAGTAGATGCTTTTAACAAAAGTACCCTGGGATTCAAACCTACAACCTTTGGTTACCAGCCCACTAAGTCATTTTACCCCAAAGCTGTAAGTTATGACAGAAACTAACCATTTTTGGGTAGAATCATGGTACCATGAGGCAAGAAGATCCTGGTGAAGAACTGAGCGCCTTGAGACTTTTAGGGCCCCTGGTACTGGCCCCCAATAAATTCTTGGCACTTTTAACCCATAACAACCACATTTTTAAACTTTTACCTAGACCTTAGTTTGGGAAAACTACGCATGTCTCTAATTTCAGATCACACATGACCCAGCTCCACACAGTGGCCGTTAGGGACACTACAGCCGATTTTTGTCCTTGGCCATTAATATATTAACATATTTAACAGCCTCATAAAACAGAAATTATCTCAGAAATTAAGCTTATGACACAATATAATGGCTGACTATTTCTCTGTAGCAAATGAAAAGCACACCATTTTGCATTTGTTTTTTTTACCAAAACAGCCTTGGGTCACTTAACCAAAATAGCATAGCCATTACAGCAATCTTGTCAACTAACCGAGTTCTCTAAAAACAGAACATGCATGGTCAGTAAAATGGGGAAAATCACAGCCCTCACAGGATACAAGGGCGGGAGAGTACAAAGGAGGAGGTCACGTTATGCTATGAAATGAGAGCTAATGACGGCCGTGTAAAGATGGGAAGAGGAGCAGTCGGTATTTTTCCCGTAGTATGGAAGCCAATGGGGACCATCAACTGTTTGGTTGCCAACTTTCGTCAAAATATCTTCTTTTATGTTCCAAAGAAGAAAGACACTCAACAGCTTGAAGGGGTCATATGATGCGATTTCAATTTTTCCTTTCTCTTT